AAAAAAAAAAAAAAAAAAAAAAAAGACAATAACCCAGGTATGGCTTGGGCCACCAGCAAACCCTGGTGTCATCCACATGATACCAAACTTATAAGCACTCAGGACATGAGTTTTGTGGTTATTCTTCCCCTGAGATTTCAAAGGAAAACTGGGGAGGCCAGGCATGATAGAGCAAGCTCAGGTCCCTACAGCAGCCCCGCACAGGGATGATGCATGAAACTGATACATGAGGTCAGGATGCACAGAGCCAAAGCTGCAACAGAGATCCAGGAAGTTAGCGATCCCAGGAACATGGGACACCTGCCAAGGGAAGCCACAGGCAGCAAGCAAAACCAGCCCATGGCAGGACCACATGGACAGGGCTGCCCAAGCCCTATGGAGCTCAGAAGGTGGATACAGTGCAGGACCTAAAAGTTTATCCTGCTGGGTTTAGATTTTGCTTTGGTCTGATTATTTCTTTGTTCGTCCTTACTTTCAGCCACTGTATATTGGATATAACCAGTTAGTTTTTTTTTTTTAATTTGTGCATTACCGGGAATTAACCCAGGGCCTCATATATCTGCTTGCTAGCACTCTACTGCTCTGCTACATTCCCAGAGTTTTTTTCTTTTTCTTGAGGCAGGGTCTTGCTAAGTTACCCAGGCTGGCCTTAAACTTGCAGTTCTCCTGCCTCGGCCTCTCAAATAGATGCAATTACAGATGTGCACAAGACCTGGCTGTTCTTTGGATTTTTACAGGGGCTCACAGCTGAGTTTGCCTTGAGTCTCTGAGAAGACTTTGGACTTAAGACTTTCAAGCAAAGTTGGAACTATTAAGACTTTAGATATTTTTGTTTTTGTTTCCCTAAAGCTTATTGGTACATTTTAGGTATATATTACGATCACAATCATCACTGGGAATTTGTACCTGTGCCTGGTATATCCTGGTTCTTGTTTTTTAAGACTTTAGACATTCTTGAAAACGGACTAACTGCATCTTGCACTGTGAGATGGACATGAGCCTTTGGGGGTCAGAGGCAGCCTGTTATACTGTGAATCCTAAATGTTCTGCAAAGGTCATGTGTTAAAGGCGTGGGTCACCTGCCTGTGGTACCACTGGGAAGTGAAAGCTTTAAGACACAGGGCCTGGTAGAAGGAAGTCCGGAGCATGCCCTCGAAGGAGATCCTGGAATCCAGTCCCTTCTCTATCTCTGTCCCTCTCTCTCTCCACCTCTATCTATTTTGGTTCTATTTCTTTCTCTCTGCTTCACTGCACCCATGGGGAAAAAACACATGTGCCACACAGTCCCCATCAGGTTCTGCCTCACCACAGGTCCAAGAACAATGAAGGGAACAGACCATGGATTGAAACCTTTTTTTTTTTTTTTTGGTATCAGGAATCAAACTCAAGGCTTCATGCTTGCTAGGCACATACTGTGCCACTGAGCTACATCCCCAGCCATGAAACCTCCAAAATTGTGAGCCCAAACGAACTTTTTATACTGTTTAAGTTGACTATCTCAGGTATTTTGTTACAGTAATGGAAGGGTGATGAATATAACTTCCCAGAACATAGTACTACTACTGAACAGTTGTGGTTTATCATTAGGAGAAACAAAGAGGAAACACACTACCCCTCCTGCCACATTCATTGTTCTAAAGAGAAAACCGCTATCTATATAGATTTATCTGATTCATTTCCTAAGTGTCAATAAAATGATCATTATATTCAAAATAGTTTACTACTCCCTCTTCCTCTTCAAATACATTTTAAAATTTAGAGAAAGAAACTAAGAAAAATTTTCCACTGAGTTACAAAAATCTCATATAATATTAAATAATTAACAACTCTGTGTAACATTAATGGGTAGTCTAACATACGTGTTCCTATTCTCCAAATAAGAAAACCAAGTGACTAAAAAGATCAGAGCACCTAGGAACATCAAGCACCTGGACTTGAGTATGCTCAGGGACACTTAAGTATTCCACTTCAGAACGCTCAGTTTTGCCTCTCAAACTGCGCTGGGTACGCTAGCACACCCTAACAGACAAACAAAAACGGACTTTAAGGTGGCCACTGACTTCCGACAGAAAACTACCAATGTCCAACAGACTTAAACCTCCAGTGATCACTTCAGCAAGTTATGTGCCAATCTAGTTCTGGATAGTAAATCCCTTTAGAGAGGGCCTCACACTTAGTGGTGCTTACCTCCTTCATCCTGAAGAATGCCATTCCTGTCAGCAGCGAGTCTGAGCCTGCCTGGTGTTGCCTTCCAATTCTCTGTAAATCCAACTGATCAGCAACTTCCTGAAGACCTCCCTGGAGAAGAATGGAAAACAGAACATTACAGACACAATACTACTGAACTCAGTTAAGGCCATTTGAGAGTTCACTTCACTGTGGTGGCAAGAAACAGGAGAGCCATTTATTTAAGGGCCTCGGCATCCTCCTTTTCACCCTTAGCTGTTCTTCCTCCAAAAATACTATGTGACATTCTACTTTTTGCTCCTTTCTTGCTAAATCTCCCAGTCCTAAGCCCTTTAAAATCAAAAGCTGCTATAAAACAAGGCTGAGGAAATGGTAAATGCCAATCTGACTCTATACAGTACACTCTTATGTCAATTCAATGGCAAGCTGGGTGTGGTGGTACACACCTGAAATTGTAGCACTCCAGGAAGCTAAGACAGGAGGTTCACAAGTTTGACCTCACCCTGGGCAGCCTAGTGACTGAGCAGGACACTAAATAAATAAGAAAGAAAAGAAAAAAAAATCCACAGTGACATATGGACACTCAAGAAAAAAAATAAAATTTTTTTTAAAAAATAAACAAAGGGCTAGAGATATAGTCTACAATGAAGGCCTCGGTTCAATCCACAGGGCCACCATGGGGGCAAAAATCAGTAAGGTAAAACCTTAACCTTCTAGAATTAAGAATCCTCGTGAGAGTATGGGACAATGCGGAGCTCATCGCTAACAAACCACAGGTATGCACCACGCTGCCTGTCAGCTGGTTAACAAGGTTCAAGGGCTTCAGGGAGGAATGCCTGCCTGCCTTAGGGTGGGAGAAACAGAGGCCTCCTCCATCCCAATCACCAGAAAACCGTGTATGCCACACCCACCTCTGTGCCCCACCTGGCAGAGGTGGCACTGAGCAGGCACCCAGGACGGCACCCAGAACACAACCACAAAACAAAATAAGTCTGCTTTTTAGTTTGTTTTTGCTAGCATTAAGAAAAAATGTTACATACCTTAAGATTTTTGCAACTCTTCATCAAATATTTCACATCATAAATGGATGGGAAGAAAAGGTTCAGAATATGAAAGAATTCATGTTCTTCTTCTGGCAAACGAGAATCTGTAAGCAACTTTACCATGTAGCCAAAATCGTAGCCACTACAAGGAGAAAAGCAAGCAGGAAGGTTTAAAAAAGCAGCAGTTACTGGGTCCCAGTGTTTAACCACTTTATTTCTCAAAGGTTATAATGCTAAAGTACATTAGAAACTTTTAGTCTCCTACTGCAATCCAACTTTCTCTATGAAGTAACAAAATATAGTAGGCTATTATGAACAATATATGAGAGAGCCCACGGGTTTACAAATGTAGATTTGATTCATCAAATTCAAAAGGTACTAAAAAGGTAAAATGTATCTCTGTTATAGCTTGTATCTTGACATTCCCTGACTGCCTCGTGTGCTCACAGGTGCGGCTTTTGGGAGGAGGCTGGATCATGGGTGTGTGACACTGGATTAGTGTTGGTTTAGCATAGTTCTGAGTGTGGGTGAAGGGTTTACTGAAGAGGAAAGTATTAGTGTGTTTAGCATAGTTCTGAGTGTGGGTGAAGGGTTTACTGAAGAGGAAGACCCACCTTGAGTATGGTGGCACCAACCAATAGGCTTGTAACCTGGACTGAACAGACAGGAAAAGAAGAAAGAAGTCTTGCTGTGCCCTCTAAAGTCACTAAGATAATCTCCTAACTGGAATCTGCCTTTTGAGTACTTGGGAAACTCCTGGAGAAGTTAAAAGACAAGTAAACACTACATGTGACCCACTCCATCCTCCACCTCTGCACTTGGAATCACAGCCACTGAGAGCCACACAATGAGCCCAATGCTTTATGCAACAATCTACTATGAGCCTCAAAGGATTTTATGAAAAACAGAAACATGAGCAACAGGTGTCATTTTCAACTTCTAACTGCTGCTGAAGACAGCAGAGCCAAGTTCGATTCCCTCCTCCAAGGCAGCCCGAAGTGAAGGAGAGACACGCTGTCTGGGACTGACCTGTGAAACGAGAGCCATTTGACATTGTCACAGAGAACCACTCCTGACGTCATAAGCAGCTCTGCAAAGTGCAGCGTGTCGATCCCTTCTTCCTCATGCTTCTGAAACTGCAGCCCCGAGTTGGCGAGGAGGTCTATGGAATCCTGGGAGTACATGTCCTCTCTGAAACGAAGGGTTCACTTACTAGCAGGACGCAACGCAACAGAAGCAGCAGGCAACATGATTACCATCACTTTGCAGTTACAGTGAAAGAATTCTTAAAATATTATTCATAGCTTAAAAATATACCAATTCATTCTTTCCTGCATTCCAACAAGCACACAAAGCTCATAATCTTATTTTGGGGACAAACGAAAAAATGGAGTATTTCCCCAGACTAACTCTCCCAATTATAAACATCTAAATTTTCTCACTGTTAAAAAAAAAAATTAACCAGTACAAAAATACTAAGACGGAAAATTTTTAATTAATAAATTAATGGGGCTGGGGGTTTAGCTCAGTGTGGTTCCATCGCTTGCAAGAGCAAAGTCCAGAGTTCCGTCCCCGATACCCCCCCCAAAAAAATTAATGAATTAATGTTCATGTCACATTACACCACGGGAGTAACAGCGCCTTCTCAGTCTATTTTCTCTACCTCCACATAATTATATACACTCCAGTGTCTGTACCTCATGGATCATCTTTTAAGTCATTACTACACCAACACACCCTCCGGACTCTGCTGATGTCACACTGTAGAGATGCGTCCATCAATCTAACAGATCTGCCCGCTTGAACCACACAGGAGCCACATGAGGACAGCAAGACATACTCAACGCAGGGATATGTAAAACACCGCACGACACAAAACTAGGGAAACAAAATAGTCAAACACCTCCTATCCTATTAGACGCCACAATTTTATTTTTCAAGCATGTTTGAGTTAAATAATCACAAAAAAAACTACCACAATCTTGAAAGATCCAGATCATTTTTCAAAATTATATGAACCTCAGATTTCCAGAACGCATGTACTTACCGTTATTCCTGGCAGGGACGGGGGGAAAAAATGAGAACCAAGACCTGTCATGTGAAGGTACAAGATCCCAATAATGAATGTAACTGAACTGTACACCTAAAATGTACCAATAAACTCAAGAAGACAAAAAAAAGTTATTCCTGAGGTACTAAATGATCTTGGCGCTAAATCAAATAAGGCAATATTCAGCTGGGTGTGGTTCCTTACGCCTGTAATTCCAGTGCTCAGGAGGCTGAGGCAGGAGGACTGACACAACTCTGAGGCCAGCCTGGGCTACACAGTGAGTTCAAGATCAGATTTTACTAAATATACATAGCAAGACCCTATCTGAAAAAAACAAGAAAACAGAACAAAACAATAAAAGGTAATATAGTACCCAATATAAAATACAGCAAACATCATTTCATGCAATCATGAGTCTACTCCATATTTTCTCCTTAAAAAATTACTTCAAGGGCCAGGGATTTAGCTCAGTGATGCCATCGCCTGCCTCTCAAGTGCAGTACTGAGTTCGATCCCCAGTAGCAAAAAAAAAAAAGAAATGTACATCAAAAACAGAACTATCAGGGCTGGGGACTTAGCTCAGTAGTGGATCTAATGCTTGCCTTGCAAGCACAAAGACTAGAGTTCAATCCCTGGTACCAAAAAAAAAAAAGAAACAGAACTATCATATGACCAGCAATTCTACTGCTGGGTATACTCTCAAAAGAATTGAGGGCAGGATCCCAAAACAAAATGTGTAGTTCACAGCAGCACTATTCACAATAACCAATATGGAGAAGAAATCTAAGTGCCCACTGATAGATAAACAAAACATGACAATAAATGTAACGAAAGATCACTGGGTCTTTAAGAGGAAGAAAATCCGCCACATGCTGCAACATGAATAAACCTGCAGGACATTAAAATAGTGAAATAAACCAGTAAAAAAAAAAAACAAACACTGATGATTCCACTTGTAAGAGGTATCTAAAGTAGTTAAATTACAGAAATAAAGTACCAAGCCCTGGGATGGGGGTGGGATAATAAATAGTTTCAATATTTTGTTTTAGGGATTTTTTTTTTTTTTTTTTTTTT